TAGGGCCACAAAGAAATAGTGAACCAAAAGAGTTGTGCACCTCGTGATGCCTTCACATGTCCATCCTATAATTCTGCTTTTCAATCCCATCATTCAAACGCCCACTGTAGCACTTGTGACACTATCAAACACAGGCATCATAAGATTAAATATATTTGTCATTATGTCATAACTTATAATTTCAAATTTATAATATGTTTCGTGAATTTTCTAAATATTTATAAAATATTATCTATTAAAAATCGAGATATCTTTATTTTATTGATATATATTCATAAAATGTCATATTCTAATTCATAATAATGTTTATTGATATTGGTTTTTTTAACAAAATTTCTCTATTAATTTTCTGTTTATTTTGGAAATGCCAATGTTGTAATTGGTTATTCAATCTTTTTTTTTAGCCATTTTTTCAAATAATTATTATTAATAAAATCAGAACCGTGTTTAGTGGACGACCCTTTACCTAACAACATCTAGAATTCTTCGAATAATGTGATATCTCACACCGGGTAGTAGTGAGATGTCGTCTTCATTGAATTGGAATTTATGTTGTGGTCGGCTACTTGAAAATTGTTACTTTATTATATATATTTTTTAATATGATAATATAAAAATGGAGAATGGAAGGACAAGGATAAATATATGAATTGTTTTCAATGCGATGGGTAATATATGACCAATAAAAAAAATATTTTTTATATTACGTTAAAAATGTTACATTAATAGAAACTATAATAATGCCAAATAAACATTATTTTATTTACATGTGGTTTATATATTAACTTTGAAACAAAATAATAATGTGATTTAAAGACTGTATTCCAAATCTTAATATAGAATTTGCTTATTTAGCAAACATTTGGGCCAAATCCCACGAAACCATTGGCCCCATCGATTGAAATTTGAATACCTTCCTGCTGGATGTTTCCGATTATGGAAAGTCCCGACGGCGACGGAGCAAAAGCGAGGCAAAAAGTTCCGGCGCCGTTGACCGGAATCAAAAAGTTTTTCGCTGGTAACGTCAGAACCGGCCCGTCGGAGAAGTAAAACGACACCGTTGGCACCCGTATGGACTCGAACCCATTGAGATCGAAACACGTGTCAAAGATCGACACACCACCAGCTCGTGGGAGGTTGTTGGTTTGGGCTGTGAACGCATCGCGGAATGCCTCGTAGGCTGCCGTTGGTAGACGCGTCACGGCAGTGCCAGTATCCATTACGACGCCGTTAGTACCGTACTCGGAGAGCTGAAAAGTTTCTTCCGGTATCGGTACTCGAACGCCTCCGACGCCGACGCCGGCGAGTCCGATGTAGTAGAAGCTTGGGGCGCGTGGGTTTCTAATCAGGGAGATCCACGTGGCGCCAACCGGCATTGCTCCACGACCGAATTCCAATGTCCCGGTCGAGCCCGTGTCTCGGCTCACTAAACAGTAGCTGAATGCACCACCGGTTTGACCGCCGAGCTGCCCGATGAATGACATTGAGCCTCCTCCGAGACCGAGTAACCCAGCGGCCCCTATAAACATGCCTTGATTCGTGTGACCGCATCCAATCGCCACGTCACGAATCATGACCTGGTTGAAAATTTTAATTAATTATTAAATATAAAAATATAATACGATTAAATATTAAAAAGTGTAATAAATTTTGTCACGAAAAATTGAAACCTTTTTTAACTATAAACAAATTTTATATTTGTTAAATATAAAAATTAAATTACAGTTTATAAAATTTAACTTAATATTTTGAGGTATAGTGTTGACCTGGCCCATGGTAATAGTTTCGAGGGCGAGAGTGCCTTTAGTGTAAGACCCGTCCCCATAGGACACCTCATATCGACACCGTCCAGCGTGGCAGTCAGTGTTATCAAGGCGGCCACAGACGGCGGAGCCACATGAGACACCGGCGAAGGAGGAGGAATCAGCCGGGTTGAAAACCGGGTCGGACTGTTGGTAGCATTGGGTACAAGGTTGACATTGGACCCACACAATATCACTACCCGAATCAATCACCATGTACTGACTCCTGGGCGGGCTCCCAACTCCGACCCGAACAAAAAATTCTCCACTCCCTTCTTCCATCCCTAATTCCAAATCCAACCCATTTAACCAAATAAATAAATAAAAATTTCAGGAACACACACACTCAAAATTATTAAAAAAATAAAAAAATTTCCTTGCCTGAAACGACACCCGTGGCAAAATTGGCCACCTTGTAACTGTTATCTTGCACGGCGGCGGCGGTGTGAGATAGGCGGCGGACGAGGGTGGCGACTCTTATGGCGTCTCTTTTGATACGTTCATTGAAGGCATGGCGATGGCGATGGGCATGGACGTGGGGTAGTTTATCCCGGTGGAGAAGGTTGAGCTTAAGCGTAGTATTGTGGAATTTTTGAGCAGTGACTTGGAGGTGAGCGTCGGAGAAATTAAGGGTAGGAAGAATTTGAGTGTGATTAAGCTCCAATTTGGTTGGTTTGACATTAAGGTATAGGAAGTTGGGCGGCAGAGATGGGCGGGCTAGGGCGGCGGCGGCGGCGGCCAAGAAGAGGAGATGGAGAAGGAGGAGAAGGGGGGAAGAGGGGTGTTTAAGGAACATGGTTTTGAAGGTTTGAAGTTGGGGATTTGGATTTGGATTAGGTTTATTTGAAGAAGAAGATGGAAGTATTAAGGGCGAGAAAGATGAATATTTGAAGAAAGGAAATGATGCGTAATGAAAATGTAATTATGGGTCCCTTTTATTTTTAAATCATTTGGAGTTTATTCAGAATCTTAGGGGCAATTTTGTCTGTGTTTCTTCCATTATTTGCTTCTTTTGTCCTGTCTTTAGAAAAAAAGCAAGAGAGTGGGAGTGGGTTGCAGAGAAAAAACTATTCTTTTCACGATTATACCCTTACCCTTACGTACATGGTTACCAGATATACCTACGAAGAGGCACTGTACAAATAATTTAATAAATATTTATATATATATATATATATATATATATATATATAAAAACCTACCCTTATCTTATCTCGCCTTTTATTTTTCTCTTAAATCTTTCTTTATTTTATTTAATAAATATTTAACCATATATATTTTTAAATTTAAAAAGGCCAATAATTTCGAGTATGCAATTGAAAAGGTGATTAAGTTATTAAATCACTCTTTTATGGAGGTGAGTCCACTCAAAATATCAATTAACATCACTAATTAATCATTTGTGTTAAAAAATAAATTTATTTTATTAATTAATCTCATGATAAATCAATAATTGTTTGTATATTTATAAAAAAAATGTATAAAAAAAGTCATTGAAAGAATTTTATTATAATTTTTATATATATATATAAATAAGTATAACATATTATTAAATTAATATCTCGTTTAAATTTATATATATATATAAGTGTCACGCGTGATGTGAAGGCAGAAGAGTGCATATCCAGTTCATTTGTAGATTGCCAAAAAGTTGGTGGCCAATTTTTTTACTCTTCTCTCTTTCTCAATTATTTTATTTTTAAGTTAAATTTAGTAAACTTTTTTTTAAAATAAAATTTATTATTATTATTCCATTTCAACTTTCTTCCTTATTCCAAATATTTATACTCTATTTTAATATTTAGTCTTTAATTTTTAACTTTTTTTTTTAATTTTTGTTAAATTATTTTAACAAATAATGACCAATTAATGGGATGTAATTTAGTAACGTAATTAAAATTAAAGTTTAATTAAAAAAATTACCATTAAAAATTGAAAGTAAGAGAGAGAGAATGGATAAATTTAATACAAGAAAAAAAAAAAATGCTTTATTACAATGAACAAAAAGATGCCTAAATATTTTTTAAAAAAAATAAAGCATTACTAACTAACACCACCTCTTACATCAAATTGAGTGCATGCATATTTTTAATATATATATATAGATTTAAAAAGGCTAAAGGGGTTGATTATTTTTAATAATTAATATGATATTGATACCGAACACTTTATTTTGTAACTATATGTTTTATTTTTTATTTTTTAAATAAAACATTGTCCACTAATCAAATATGTCATTTAATGGTATGGATTATGTAGATTAAAATAAAAGATATTGGAAAAGCATATTTAATAAGATAATTAAATACGACAAGACCAAACAATTTTGGTCGGATTATAATTATATTTTAAAAATATTAATCTAAGTGGAACATTCGAAATATCACAAACAAATGCACGAGTGGATACTACTTAATTAAATACTAATAATTGGACAATTATTATCTCTAAAAGCTTCACTTTTATGTGAGAGATATAATTTTTTTTATAAACATAGTATCCAATTTATTACAAATTTCTCTATAAAAATTATTTGAAAAAAGCATATTAAATTTTTGTTTACACCATATGTTTTGTATTCTTAAATTTCACAATAAATCCACGATTAATAAAACGTAAAAAAGAGAAAAAACAAATTATATAATATAAATAATAAACATTTTAATTATTATACTCAAAATTAAAGAAACAAATTTCTCGAAAAATTATAAATAACAAGAAGTTCTAGACGGATTGGAACTACTCTTCATGAATGAATAAATAAATAAAAAGAATTTTTCAAAAAGACTGTGATGATGGTGGTTTGCATAAGGATTTTTTAATACATAATATAATCTTTTATATATATATATATATATATATATATCCTTTCAATCAATCATGTTCATCAAGGTTTATATGTGTTGATTATATATCAATTTAGATGTTAAGTACAATACATTGACTTAATTATTGTGGATTAATCAATTAAGATATGATTAACTAATTTCATTAATTCATCAAATGTAATAGAGATGAAACGATCTTAGAATTATAATAAATTATATTCTTGTATACAATAATGAAGAAAAATAAAACATTGACCAAATGTCATACTCCTATAATTTTAATCAAAATAACAGCTAATATTAAATTTTAATTATTTTAAAACTATCTTATTTGAGAGTAATATTTTTTTAATAATTTATTTTTATCAATTACTAAAATACTATTACGTTTATTAATTATTTTTAAAATTTGACGAGGAATCCAAAAGAATCACCTATAACTAATATTATTTCTAAAGCAAAATCTCTTCGAAGATTGTCGAGCTTTCACGACGTCGTTTTCATTTGTCGCATATTCTGTTTTCTTTAAACAACCTGCAAGCCATGAAAGAAGTTGTGAATAATCAACAAGATGTGAAGAGGATGAAAGATGTAAAGATTACAAGTAACTTTCTTGGCTGTTCTTACAGTATTCAGCTAACGAAATTCATCGTGGTACGGATAGTAATCCATCTCGTATTCACTAAAAACCGAGCTATAGAACACAAACGGGTTGTCGATCATGTCGTTCAAAGTTAGGAGTTCATCATTATCACTATCTGCCTGCAATTCACAATGCCAAGAATCTGTTTTTCAGGCCTTCAAAACGATTGAAATCATTCTATCTCGTGAGCCTAAGAATGTAGCATGTGAAGAAGATACGAGATTATAAATCAATCGAGCTTTCCGTGGCTGAATATTTTCCAACCCCTCGTTAAGGTACACCAACTGTAACAACCAAACTCACAGATAGCAGACATTGTTCTCTTTTGACTCTCTTTCGGGCTTTCCCTCAAGATTTTTAAAACGTGTCTGCTAGGGAGAAGTTTCCACACCCTTATAAAGAATGCTCTGTTCCCTCTTCAACCGATGTGGGATCTCACAATCCACCCCCTTCGGAACTCAGTGTCCTTGCTGGCACACCGCTTGGTGTGCTGGCTCCGATACCATCTGTAACAGCCCAAACCCATCACTAACAGATATTGTTCTCTTTGAGCTTTTCCTCAAGGTTTTTAAAACGTGTCTTCCACCCTTATAAAGAATGTTTTGTTCCTTTCTCCAACCGAGGTGGGATCTCACATCGGTGATCCCGACCCCTCGTTGAAAGTAAATTAAGAACATCTTACACTGAATCACTACTAGAAATCGATTTTTGTTATGCATAATTTTGTGAATTGGTTAAACCCCTTAGGACTGTAAGACGCTTCAGAAACAACATGAAAGCAGCAGAGCCAAGTTTTATGAACTAAAAGTACCTGAGAGATGATGTATTCTGCTTGTTGTTTTGCATAGTAAGCTTCTGATGGATGGATCTTTCCTATAACAGGCAGCAGTTCTGTTGCTGAAAGATACCTGCAAAGAAGCCGAGAATAATATTGTAACCGTCCAAGCCTACCACTAGTAGATATTGTCCTCTTTGGGCTTTCCCTATTGGGCTACCCTTCAAGGTTTTAAAACGCGTCTGCTAAGGAGAGGTTTCCACACTCTTATAAATAATGCTTCGTTCCCCTCTCTAACTAACGTGAATTATTTACAATAAAAAGGCACACATAGGAACAATGTTTACCCATCTTCGTCCTTGTCAAGCTCTAAGAACATCTTTTTTGCCCGTGCCTCCATTTGATCATCATCCCAACTCAACGAACCGTAATCTTCATCGACTCTTCTTACTAAGTCAAAAATTGCCGGGGAAAACTCGCTGAAGCTGAGCTTTCCATCTTTGCTGTTATCTCTTTCCCTGATTGATAACATTATAAAGCCAGCAGTCGACAAAATAATCTAGTAAGATTGAATCAATTCGAACGTTAACCTTTCGAGACCGAGAAGTTTAGAACAAATGTTCGAATCTTGTCAATCCAAGGTTCTCTTTGCCGTGTTTTTTCGGTTCATGTAACGGTTTCATGATGTTAAACCATCATTATAGCAACAGTTGAGTACAAATACAAACTACAGAAGGCAAAACTTAAGAAGCAATCTATCTACCTTACAACATCTCTACACAGCCATAGAAGCAGCTTTGGATTCCTGCTGTCAGCAGGATGCAAGAAGCTGAAAACGAGCAGATCAAGAAAGTATCGATATCGAGTAAGAGAAATCGATAAACGACGGGCACTTTTAAAGCTTACTCATTAAATTCAGACATATCCAAAGCCCCATTCCCATCAGCATCTGATGCATTGAAATGCTCCTCATTCCACCAGCCAATATCATAGCCGGAAGAACTATTACCTTGATGAACAGTTCGGACACTAAACATCAAAATATGTGAAAACTAAGCCTATATGAAGTTATGGATTCCACTTCCTCTGTACAATACTACACAAATTCCAATGTTCATGAATTTCATGAGCCACAAATTCATGATAAAGTAAACCCTAAATGGCAGTGGGAAACAAAGATATCATATCAGATAGTATAGAATTGCCAAAGAAACAGAGAAAAGATACTAAAATACAAATTCAGAGGACCCCAAAATCAAAGAACACATAGAACAGTATAATCCAATTGAAAAGTGAGGTATAAAGAAAGAAGATGATCTACCAGCGGCCATAACCCAACTGGGGGGCTCGTACTCGGCGAAGGAAACAAACCCATCACGATCCTCATCGTGAGTTTCAAATTCCCTTTCAGTCCGATGCAGAGCCGCATTCATGGCCTGCTGCCAGTTCCAGCGAGTCAATTCCTCTACAGATATAAACCCATCGGTAGGGTTCACATCGATATTGGGGAAAAGAGAGGACAATCTTTCGGTGACATTAAACCTGTCCTCATCGTTTATGAACTCCTCCCACTCTGGGTGGGAATCGGCGGCATCGGATTGGGAAGGGCCGAGGGAATGGTTCTGCCATTCCTCGTCCTCACGGCGGAGTTGGATGTTGGCGATGAGAGGGTCGAAGGGGGCGTAGTGGTCTTGTTGCTGACGGTGGAGTGGCTGATTGAAGGTGAAGTTGGAGCGGAGGCGGAGGCGGCGGTGGCGAGGGGTGATGCGTCGTGATGGGGTGTGAAAGAAAAGGATTAGAAGAAGGGAAAAGATTGATATGTAGATGAAAATTGAGAGCTTCCCCATTTTCTTGGAAGATTGATTGTTTATTTATTTGGGAAATTGCAGGGCTTCGTGTTTTGATTAATGAAGCTGAAAAGAACAGATTTTTTATTGGATCAGTGTGCTTACAACCAAATGGATTTTTTTTTTTTTTTTTTAATTTTATGATTTTGGTTTTAGTTTGAGTGAAAAAAAAAAAAAAAAAAAAAAACCCCACTTGATTTAATTAATTTTTCAAATCGTTTTCCTCACTCACGTTTCCTAAAACATTTTTCACTAACGTGACTCGAGACTTGAACATATGCAGACGTTGTCTGCGATGTTTGAATTTCTTACGGCTGACTTAGTCCCTAAGTTAGAACAAATGTCGCACAATTGTTGTCTTGCTATTAAAAGAGTACAATTATGACAAGACGAGGAATTCCCACCTGATTTCAAAAGAATTTTAGTAGTAGGAAAAAAAATTAAATGGGAAGGAAAAGGGAAACGACAAACCATATCCATGATTACTTCCTACTCGTCTCATGATTTTTAATACTAAAAACTAATATGAAATTGATTGGAAAGCTCCCAAATTTCCATTGGATTAAAAAAAAAAAATCAAAAGTTTTTAAGAATTTAGAGGTATATATTTTTTAATAATTTAACCTAAATAAAAATTAAAAAAAAATCTTCATGATAAACAAATTGAAAATCAAAACCCAATTATGTTGCTTTTCTACCGGAAATTGTTTTAATTGAAACAAAGTAAAAAAGAAATTAAACAATACCCTGTTTTTGTAATTTTGTGTTGGTGAAATTGGCAAGATCAATTGCTTTGGAAACACTCAAATCACGAACGCCAATGGGTAGAATTTGGATTCGGCCCTCTCCCCTTTTCTGCTATGCAACTAATTTACAGTTGCCCATCTACCCGCTTCCTTCACCGTTCCATTTATTTGGCATACGATCAAAGAACTTCAAAAGAAATCATCAAATTTCAATCGCCCATTGCTTGCTGCAGCTTCCTCCATGGATTTCTTGTTCTCGTGTTCATAAAGACTCGCAGATACTGTCTTTTTGAAGACTATAAAAGGTTTGTCCGAAGTTCTGTCTCTATCAGCTGTTTTATTTACAGTAAGTAGTTGTTGGGCATGGGACCTAATACCCATCAGAGTCCCCTTTTCGTAGTAAAACCCATCATCGTTGCTTATAATTTCTTCACCTACCTTGTAAAATCTACTGAATCAGGGCCCCATTATTGGAATCGCTCCCTTTTTTGTTTCAACTTTCTCTGGGTATGTTTCTAAGGCCGAGAGGAAGTAAGAACAGTGAATGTTTTGATTCTTACTCATTTAGGGCTCTTTGTGCTACTAGATTTGGCCATTTTGGTCTTGTTTGTGGCTATGGATTATGAGTTTCTGGGTTTTTCATCAATCAAGGGGTTGAAGAACCAGGCGCTGTTCTTTATCATTTCTGGCTGTTCTTGAATGAAAGAGTAGTAAAAGCACATGGGTCTCATTTTCTTTTGCTTTTTAATGCCTAGAATCTATGCTCTGAAGGGATTGAAGCTTTCATCTCAACTTTGCATCTTTTTCTCTTTTCATTGATTCCAAATCTTATCTCACAATGAAGTGTTAGCTGCTTGTGGAAATGGTTTTACTATTTGAGCAGCTGAAGAACATAGAGCCTAAGGAGGTAGTTGGCTTTTGGCGGCTGTTGTTTTAGGTTCATAAAAGTAGATATCAATTTATAACGTGTTCTTGTCAAATGATCGATGATTTCTTGATTCATCCTTGTTTGATATTTGTTGTTCTTCACAAATTTCATCATCCAAGGATGAAATTCTCATTTGAATTGTTTGTTCTTCCCATTTATCTTTTGCTTTCTTTTGAAAATTGATGTGTTCTCTTTCTCTCCAGTGGATTTTCAGATTTTCCCCATTTCCTAAAGCATTCTTGACATGGATTTTAGATCATAGCAGACCCTCATAGATTTGTTGTTCTTGGAGAATAAACACAAGGCTAGATGACGGTGGACGAAAAGAGTAAGAGCTCGATTTGGAGCCGAGATCAGGACAAGGCATTTGAGAATGCTCTAGCCACTTATCCAGAGGATGCTGCTGATCGTTGGGAGAAGATTGCGGCGGACATAGCTGGAAGAACACTAGAAGAGATAAAAGAACATTACAAGGTGTTGGTTGATGATGTTAACCAAATTGAATCTGGATTGGTTCCTCTGCCGTGCTATAGCTTTTGTTCTGATGGGTCTCCAAGTCATGATGCTAAAAAGAAGGGAGACCACCATGGGGTTGATAATAGTGAACCATGTTCTGGAAATAAAGCTCCAAGATCTGACCAAGAGCGTAGAAAGGGGACTGCATGGACAGAAGATGAGCACAGGTAAGCTTTTGATGATGTGCTTTTAATTCAGCTCTCTCATTCTTCATCATATCTTATATGTGTTGATGTTATCAAGAATCATATCTTATACATGCACATTAGCCTTTTGTCATGGTAAGCTCATCCAAACTGCAATGGAAATGGGGCAGAGAGAAGTTTCCTTTCTCTTTTCTCAACTCTCTTCCCTTCTTTTGATGATGAGATTGTAACAATCCAAATTCACCGCGGATAGATATTGTTCTCTTTGGACTTTCCCTTTCGGGATTCCCCTCAAGGTTTTTAAAATGCGTATTCTAGGAAGAGGTTTCCACACCCTTATAAAAAATGTTTCGTTTCCTTCTCCAACTGATATGGGATCTCACGATCCAACCCCCTTTAGGGCCTAGCGTCCTCACTGGCACACCCCGCCTGGTGTCCACCCCCTTTCGGGGCCCAACATTCTCACTGCCACGTCACTTGGTGTCCACCTTCTTCGGGGCCGTACAACGCTCAGTGTCCACCCCCCATTGATACCAGCGTCCTTGCTCGCACACCATCTAGTGTCTGGCTTTGATACCAACTGTGATAGCCCAAGCCCACCGCTAGCAGATATTGATCTCACAATATTGTCAGATCCCACGTCGGTTGGAGAAGGGAACGAAACATTTTTTATAAGGGTGCGGAAACTTCTTCATAGCAGACGCATTTTTAAAACCTTGAAGGGAAGCTCGAAAGGGAAAGCCGAAAGTGAACAATATTTGTTAGCGGTAGGTTTGGACTTCTACCGGATAAGTGGTCAGCATATTAGCTGCAGTGAGGATATAGCTTTTTCTTTTCTGTTTAGGCGCATCACAAGTGGTTCGAACGTACCTTCTCAGTCTTTGATCATCTACCCTTTGGTTACCCGGATGAAACAAATTTTATTAGACGAGGTTAATTACAATTGTTGAGAATTGTTGGGAGAGAGAGTCCTACAATGACTAATTAAAGGGAAGATTATAGGTTTATAAGTAAGGAATACTATATCCATTGATACGAGACATTTTGGGGAAACCAAAAGTAAAGCCATGAGAGCTTATGCTCAAAGTAGACAATATCATACTATTGTGGAGGTTCGCGATTCCTAACACCAATAACATAGGACGAAAGCTATGGTTCTAAGATGGAACACTGGTATATTTGCACGGTTGTGCGTTTGTTTAATTGTTTTTGCACAATTGGTATATTTGCACGGTTTATGATACTAAGCAGATCTTGCCATAAATTCATTAATCATTTTGGGATGATACCAAGGCTTTACTTTGAGCATTTGATACCAAGCAGACTATTTCTTCTGGGTTTGGATAAATATGGAAAAGGAGATTGGCGAAGTATTTCCCGGAACTTTGTGGTGACAAGAACACCGACTCAAGTGGCAAGCCATGCTCAAAAGTACTTCATTCGTCTGAACTCAATGAACAAAGAGAGGAGGCGGTCGAGCATCCATGATATCACCCGTGTCGATAATGGAGATGTATCTGCACATCAAGGACCAATTACTGGTGAAGCATATAGTTCTGGAGGAGGAGGAGGAGGCTCTACCAGCAACTCCTCCAAACAGCCATCTCAGCCACCTACTGGATCATTCGATGTCGGGATATACGGCGCTCTAGCCGTCGAGCAGCCCGTAGGAGGTCCCCTTGGTCCGGCAGTTGCCACTCCAGTTAGTACTCCTCCACCAGCACATACGACATATGCAGTCAGATCCCGTGTAGTGAACTCACTGGTTCCTAGACCACCAGTGAATATGAGCTCCATAACATATTAAAGGTAATGTTCTGTTCTGTTCTGTTGTGGCATAGCTTATCTGAAGAGTGGTCTTATGTTCTTGTTTGGTCTCACAGGTCATTTACTTGTTAGTACTTGTTTCATGAATGAATGATGTTTGGGATTCAATGTTCTTTTCCAAGCCATTGGATTAAGGTTGTTTCATTTTAGTTCAGTAATTCATAGGAGTGTTGAGAACCAAATCGAATCGACTTGGATCCAAAGTCAAGCTTGTGTTGGATCGGGTTGATTTTTGCAGCAAACCGACACGACCCCGTTTTCTTTATAGGATTTTTGGAGGATACAATGTACAAGTAATAGGGGTGGCTTGGCAATTTGAAACCAAACATATTGATGTCATTTTTGAAAGATGGTTTGATTTGAAATTGGATAATTTGCCTTTTCTTTTGTATGTAAAAAGCAACCCAACATATCAATACCCCATTAAGAAAGAGTTCTCTCTTTTTTATCCTTTGTTTCTTCATTTTCAGTTGATGGTGACCCAAAAAAAAAAAAATAAATAAATAAAAAAATCCTAACGAAGCTTCTCATCGCTCTTAGAGATGTCTACGGGATCTCCGTTATTTAACTTCTCACCACTCTCTTCTTCATTTCCGTTTAGATGAGATTTTCTATTTTATTTTGAGCAGATCTCTACAAGTTAAATAGACATCTCTAATTACTCGATTTTTTTTTTCAATTTCTTTAACGATTAGGGTCTTCTAAAAGTAAAAACTGTGGACTAACATAAGTCATTTCAACATGTTTTGTTATCACTCACATACTTCTTAGAAAAAATTTATGGAGGGTCATCCAACACAAAATAATAAATTTGGAGTTTATATACTTGAGCCACCGAAAAGAATGATACACCTTCATCTTTTGCTCATAAGCACTCTCATTTAGATGTAATCATGATTTACTCGGGTGTC